TATATATATATATATATATATATATATATATATATATATATAGGGTCGGCATTAACTGCCAAATTAGGGTCGACCTTACTGCCGACCTGAAAGTGTTTTAGGACGGCAAAAAATTGCCGACATGGTTTCTATATTTTATGGTCACACCTTTGTATCAAATAATTTTTGTTTATATATATATATATATATATATATATATATATATATATATATATATATATATATATATATATATATATATATATATATATATATATATATATATATATATATATATATATATATATATATATATATATATATATATATATATATATATATATATATATATATATATATATACTAAAAGCAATGATGGTTATCATGTATAATGTCTACTTAAATTTTAGAGCAGGAAATTAGCATTCAAAAGTGACTTGAAAATTAGGAAGATTGTTAAGAATATGATTCCAATGGTTATTGGCACCAATATAGAGAACACAATTGATTGGTCAGGAGCAAACAATTAGCCTACTTCTTAAGCAATTCCATTAAAATTATTGTGTAAGAAGAAATTTTATTCTCTATTTAACATTTCTATGTATATATATATTAGGGTGATTGAAAAAGCAGCTTTTTAAATAATCAGCTCCTCAACCCTAAATGTATTCGATATAATAAAATAACGCAAGATAAAAATTTTGATACTAGCACTTAAAAGATGCAATATTAAATAAAGTTTTTAAAAATAGTATTCATTTTATGTAAAAATTATTATTTCAATAAAAACTATGTTTTTTTTTACTAAAAATAAAAAGTTAATATTTTGTTTCTTAATAATAAATATTTTTAAATGTTTTTTATATAAAATTGTTATTAATTTTGAAATTTTTATTTAGTTTTGGTATCTTTTTAGTACCAGGTTGACATAATTATAAAAAAAAATTTCGATGATTTTATGAACTCGTCTTATGTTAATAGGGTATAATGAAAAATTTTCTTTTATTTTTTATATCTAGTGCTTTTTTATTTTATAGAATAAGGTTGAGGTGCGGATTACCCTAACATATATATGTTTATGAGTAAAGTGCATTTTAGTCATAAATCTTAGTTTAATTGTTTACTATTGTATATATAAATATACAATATCCTAGATAAACAATGTTGTTATACGTTATAGTTTAACTTTGTGTTATTTAGATGCTGTGAAATTAAAAGCTTTAACCTCAGGAGCATCAGAAGAAGAATTTGAACATACTAAAAAGATATTTTTAGGTTTCCGGGGATCGAAATGGCGGGCGAAAAGTTCGAGAGGAACGTTTTGTATAAAAAGTTCTTTGCATAAATAACAAATTTGAAATATTAATTTCACTTTTTTATTTATAATTTCATTATTTTTTAACTCGTTTTTGGTTGGCAATAAATTTTGAAAATGTTTATTTATTTTTGTTGATATAAGTTGGAATAAATTTCGAAAAGTACTTATTTGTTTGAATTATGTGGGATAACACATTTGTACAAAAACGGCGTGCGAATCAGTAAAAATTAACGCTTTATTGCTAACACGCCATCACAAACAAATGTTGGAAAATGATTACGGATTAGTACTGGTAATAGATAATGAGCCAGTGCTGGTTAGCGATCGCGGGCCAGTGCTGGAAATGATCCCGGGCCAATACTGGAAAACGATTGCAGGCCAGTGCTGGCGAACGATTGCGGGCCAATGCTGGCGGAAGGCTGTCTGGGTATATGTATGCTCAAAAAATACAAAATTGAAAATAAAAAACAAATAATTTTGCAATAGATACATTTAATTATTATAAGATTTTAATTTAAATGAATTTTATAAATTTGAAAAAACGAAATCTCAAAACAAGTAATATAAATGAATTATCAATTAGACTAAAACAAGAAACGTGGTCCAATGTGTATAAAAGTCATGACATTAACAAAGCATTCAATAATTTTTTTGATATATTTCTAGAGTACTTTAATGAAACCTGTCCTTTTAATTTGTATGTCCTCAAGAGGACATACAAATTAAGACAAAAGCAGTTGCTAATCCGTACATGTATAAATCGCTGATAAAATGCTCAAAGAAGAAGCAAAAATTCTGCAATAAATTTCTTAAAAACAGCAACACTGATAATGAAAAAAATCACAAAAATAAATATTTTTACCAAAATCTTACTAAAAATATTTAAAAAATTACTAAAGTAATCATTTTGATTTGATTACTGAAGTAATTTGAATAAAATAGTTTGCTCCGTGATAAGATTATAAGAACTTTTTTAAGAGACCTAAACAACCGCAAAAATAAAAAGAACAACAACAACAAAAAATACTTTGCTTTTTTATACAGAAAAGAGCAAATGATTTGATTTTCTGTATAGAGCTTTAATGTAATCTTGGTGACTACATAAAATCTCTATGCGGAAAAGCTAAAATAATTAAATCAAGTTTTACAGAATAAAAAAAAGTTCTGTACAAAAAAGCAATACAAAATAAGCAAGCTTTGCGTATTTGTAAATTGTACCCCCAAGTAAGATAGATAGGGTTACAGTTTACAAACCTCTTATTGGACTTTGTCGAACCTCTTGGTTTTGAGCCGCAACACTAACCACTGCTTCATGTCTGCTATTTCAAAAACAACTTACTCTAATATTAAACGCTTTTAATATTGTCTTTTTCCATTTGAACAGTTTTCTCAAAATGCAATGACAAACTTATTAATAAAATTCGTATAAAATATTTTCCATAGTTCATAAGAGATTTAATTTACTATTTTTATGACAAGCTAGAACATGACAATAACCCAAGAAAAAAGTCTTCAAATATGCGGCTTTTTATGAATGATATTTTTTAATTTTAAAGGTTTTATATCCTTAGTTTATGGAAAGTAGTTTTTTTATAAGAAAAAAAGTAACGATTTCTAATTTGGCATTGCAAAACAATCATTGTACTACCTAAAAGTTCTAACCATAAGAGTATCAAGAATGTTTTATGTAGTAAAACAAAAATCCATTACAATAATACCATTTCCCTGGAAGGTTTACAGTTCTTGAAAAAAAATATTTTAAATTGGAAAAGCTTTTTTTTTTTTTTTTAAATTAGTAAAACTTTATTTCTACAGCACTTTTTTTTTCAAACACTTTAAAGTTTTTTACTTACGTATATTGTATAAAATTTTTTAACATAGGTTACGTTTGGGTGTGCTGTCTATGTAGCTTTATGCGTTAGGTTGAAACTTGCTTCCAGTGAGCAAATCCAGGTTTCGCGTTTTTCATAAAATCCTGACCCGAATATAATAAGTGCTTGAATATTGAATTCATTTTAATAGTGTATAAGTTATAACAAATATTACTATGATATATATATATATATATATATATATATATATATATATATATATATATATATATATATATATATTTTTTTTTTTTACCATATAAATTTATTCAAGTCGTAAAGCATAACATATATACAAATAGCATTAAATAATATTAAAAAGAAGTATTTAACTTAATAAATCTAATCCATAAAAAATTATTATAAGAAAATGAATGTAAATGGTTTAAATAAACTGGGTCTTGATTTAAAAAAAACGCGAAACCTAGATTGCTGACTGGAAAAAAATATTGACCAATGTGTTAATCATAGCTAATATATTTTTAAACAGCTAAATATAATCAACTTGGAATAATTTTTCAAATAAACGAATAAATTCAATTATAAAAAATATAAAACGAATAAATAAAAAAAAATTCAAATAAATGACAACATTGCTTCATTTTATTGTCAGTATTTTATTGTTAAGGACTACTGTGCTCCATCTAGTAATATTAATAAACATACGTACTTAGCACCTATTTTCACAATTTTAAATAAAATTTAAGTTTTTTTTTATTGGTTCCCAATTCCGTTCATATTTTAGGTGGTGTACCATTCCTATAGTTTCAAGTCTATGTTTCCTAATAAAAAACAAAAAATAATAAGAAAAAGTATTTTTGTAATTAAAATTTTTCTTAGAAAACATAACACCCGGTTATAAAGCCATTAAAAAAATAATTTACATATAGGTTTTTTTATTTATAACAATTATTCATTGTTCAGCACCTATACTCGAAATATTTATCCATTTTTTATTATATTTTACCGCATCCGTTCATATTTAAGGTTATTGAGGGTCTCGTCATTTAAGTTTCGATTCCATGTTTTTTATTATGCATCTTTTTTGAAAGCATTCATAATTTGGAAGCACCCATAATTTGAAACAGTATTTTGTATTGTTTTGTGTTTTCATTCACGAATGCAAAGTCATAATAAATTAAAATCAAGTATTTTTTTAAAAGTTTTTTTGTAGGTAAAAAAGGTTGTTAATAAGTTTAACTTGCGTTACAAAAAAGTAAAATTACACAGAATAAAAATTTTTATTTAAAAATCGTCATAACAATTATTTAGTGGTAACATCTAATTTTAATTACCTTTTTAAAATGTATTATATTGTTGTAAATAAAACTTATTGGGAGTAGTATGTAACGTATAAAGTAAAATTGAGTTTTAATGGAAAAACCTAATTTTAAAAGGTAGAAATTAATTAATAATTTTTTATAAATCACGGTTTGAAAAGTATCAACCAATATCGTTGTTATGAAACGCAGTGTTGGTTTCTGTTTAAAAACTGCTTGCTCAGCAACTTTTTAAATTCAACATATCTTTCAAAATGTTTTTGTGACGTGATAAAAACTTGACTTTTAAGACGGTATAATAAAACACATCCTTTTATTAAAAAGTGACACAAATAAAAAATTCTATAAACGTTTTTGTTTTTAAATTAATGTAAAAATGTGAAAATTAGGCCGCAAAGAAATGAAATCTAGAAAGTTCCAACTTTTCTATAGTTGGTTTTAAACCATAAGCTTTATTGTTGGTTGCTGCGAACGAAAAATTTTATATTTAAGAGCCTTTTGCTTATGTATTTTATTTTATTTATATATTTAACAAATGTTACTTGTATACAGATTTTATAAAAAAATATAATTTGTACTGGTAAAAAAAAGTTATTGCTTGGATACTCGCTAAAAACAAATAAAAATGCGTTTTTGGAAGCTTGTTTTGAGAAAGAAAAAATCATTACGTTACGTAAACGTCCGCAAGGTTTTTTTTAATTTGCTTTAGTAATTGTTGATTATTTATTTGCTCAATTTTTTTTTTGGTTATATTTTTATATAAATCTTTCAAATAGGAATCCTTAAACAAAACTTTCTTTCAAATAGGAATCCTTAAACAAAATTCGAATTGCTGTCTTTGGATACGGTGGTGTTGGAAAAACTTCAATAATAAAAAGATATCTTTTTAATGTATTTGAAGAAAATTATAAACGTACAATCGAAGATGATTATACTCAGGTTATAAAATATCGGAAACAAATATTTTTTGTTAATATACTTGATATGGCTGGGAGTTACCAGTTTCCTGCCATGAGAAAACTTGCTATTGAGACTTGCCACGGTTTCTTATTAGTATATTCTATTGATAATAAAAAGTCATTTGAAGAAGTAAAAAGACTTTTGAAAATAATTATTGAAACTAAAGGCAGAAATGATTTTCCCATACTTTTAATAGGCAATAAAGAAGACTTAAAAAATCGTGTAGTTTCAAAAGAGGAAGCAAGACAACTAGTAGAAAATTTGGGTCCAAAAGCAGAGTTTTTAGAAACATCTTCTAGGTATAACTCGAATATTGATCTATCGTTTAAAAGTATTATTCGCTTGATAGATGAGGAAAAAATTGAGACATTCAGAGAAAAAACTAAAAACATGCAAAATGCTGATATTCAGGTACGCGCTACAACAGCAAGCATCAAAAACGTTACTAAAAAAAACTGTAATATTCGAGAAAGGAAATATGGGTCAATTAATATTAGATCATTTTTAAACTGTAGAGAAGAAAACGTTTATCGATTGTAAAATGCTTTTGTTCTATAATAGAAATATTTTTCCTAGGAACTTTTAAACTTTTTAAGTTGTATGATAAAATTATATATATATATATATTTTTTTTCATGAACAATAAGCAAAAATGCGGAAACCCAGTAAACACAAGACTTGTTTTATATGTTTAAAAAAACGATTCAGTTTTAATACATGCTTTAAAACATGTTCATACATAGACGTGCTAAATACGGATTGTGTTTACTGGGAAACTATTTAACGAGTTCACACCGCCTTTTATTATGATGTTGCTTATATGGTCATGGCATTCATCGAACCATAAATCTCTTGAACAGGCCCTATGAGAGGTAGTGAAGTCGGTGCGCCGCACCAGAGCCCATATCACATAAATAATAATTTTTTTTAATTTAAAAAAATTTATATTTTGAATGTCATTTAATTACTGGGCATAAAACAATTAAATTACTTAGCACTACCTATTATTGTGAATTGTTTTACTTGCGTCTGATTAGTTCCGTGTTCTGACGTAACTTTTTTTTAATTTGAAATACTTAGGTTTTATAAAAGCGATGTAGCCGTGAGTTACTGAAAGAAAAGAAGATTATACACCACAATTAAAAAGAAAAACCGCGAATGGCGTGAATTAGAAAGGCGTTTGTCGATTATAAGTTATTTTAAATTAACAAGTCTGAGAGAGAAAGAATATTTACGAACATTAGGTTGACACTTTAATTTGCGTAATTTAACTTTATGGTGTCGAGTGTAAGTATAGTAGTTAACCAAAAAAAAAAATTACATACATAAAGACAAACTAAATTGTTTAGAATTTTTTAAATGAGTTCTAGTCTTGCTTTAGAGAAGAATTTTTGAGTAGTTCCCAATCGTTAAAATATGAAAATTTGTTTAAATTGTCTATTTTCTAAGAAAAACGTGTTTGGATTTTTTCAACTGCATTTTTTAATTCAGTGCAGTGCAGTGACCAGACCAGAGAGCAGTATTCTAAAAACTTGTAACTGCCATTTTTCTACAATTTTTAACTGCCATTTTTCTGACCAGAGAAAAACTTTATTGATGTAAAACAGCTTGATCGCGGCTGTGATCCATATTCCTAAATAAGCTATATGACTTGATATCGTTTTTAGATTTTTGAATATAGATCAATGTAAATCGTTACATGTAAAAATAAGAGCAAAAAATAACATTGAATCCATAACATAATGCTTATATATGGTTTTAGCAGTGAATTTTAGGCTAAAACTTGTTGTTATTTATTTGAAAAGATCCAATTAAAACTTGTTGTTATCTATTTGAAAAGATCTAATTAAAACTTGTTGTTATCTATTTGAAAAGATCCAATTAAGAAGGTTATTACTTATACATTGTAGGTTTTCTAATGAGTTTTGGGTGAGGTAAAAATCAAATGCCTTTTGAAAATCAATGTGCACCACGTCGGTTAATGAATAGTTGTCTAGAGCTTTATTTTAACCATTTGTTGACTCAGAAAGAGCTGCGTAGGTAGATCTTTTGAGTAAAAACCGTAATTTTGAATAAAAAACAGTTAATTAGGTAATTTTAGATTATTAATATTTAGATATTTAGCAATTTTAGAACTAATAAAACTTTCTATGCCACGACAGTTGGTACATGTAAGAGGGATGACTGTATAATTATTAGCATCTGAGGCGGGTTCCCTTTTTTAGAGGAGGAAAACCAAAGCTTGAAGTTATTGTTTAGGCAATGAGGTTGAATAAATAATGAATAAATTGAACAAATAATGTGCTAGGTTTCAGGTTTATTATTTTGATAAACCTCTGCTGAAAAGTCTACATTGCCGATGTTAGTAGAATCATTAACAAAGTTGTTTGTTTTACGCGAAAAAAACCGTAAAAAACGCTACCAAAGTGTTTTTTAAATACCGCAACAATGTTAAATATTAATATTGTTGCTAGTAGTTATATTGATGTTTGTTTTTAGAGGACTAAAACACTTACTTTAGTGTCCTTGACAAGTTTGAGTTCCACATTCTTGTGGTGCAAAAATTGGCTTTTTTTTTATTTAGATGCATATTTAAAATATGCATTTTCTATGCAAATTGGTATTCGAACATCTTTTCCAAAAAATGCTTTTCGAACTAAAATTTTATAAATGTTTATGAAAACCTAACAATAAGGTTACCTAATAGGGATATAGTATTAGGAAAAACCAGATCAAAAATATTGTTTCCGCAGATAGATTTCTATACATATTGATGCAAGACTGTTAACTAAAGTTAAAAAAAAAACTAATATGGCATTTTTCATTTTGCAAAACGTAGTTAATTTTCTTATTAATTTTCGGTAAATTAAAATCGCCAACAATAATTAATTGAGTTACAGAATGACACAAATTGTAATAATTGATTTCATTGAATCAAGTTAGATATAATCACCGAAAGAATAGGGCGGTGGGCGGTAGCAAATGTTAAAGTATATTAATTTAAAAAAAAGTTTATAAATAAAGGGGTCTTAAATAAATGGAATAAATATTAAGTTTGACTTTTTTTATTTAGTTTATATATTTCTTTAACATATAACATTTTTATTTTTTAAATAATTGAAAAAAAAATTGATTTATCGATTTAAAACGCAATTTTAAATTACTTCATTTTTTATTCTTTTCGAAAAGTATTATAAAAAATTAGTAGATTAAAAAATTAATAGGTGCGTTTAAATCATAATTGTACTTAAAAATAGTAGTACTATACCAAAACTTAATTAGATCCTAAAAAAAAATTAAAAGGAGGGGGAAGGGGATTAAATAGTTTTCCCCCTCTTCTCTCTAAGTTTCTTTAAAAGGTCAAATAATTGATTTCTAAGGAAAAATTACAATGAATAAACTTTTTTTTATTTTTTTTTGTGAATGTTTTTAAGGCTATTTATATTTTTCAAATAATAGATTTTCTTTAATTATCAGTCTTTTATTCTTTTTGTTATAAACTTCTAAACCTATATTAAAGTTTCATTAAAATGATCAACATCGTTGTTATCATCTGATGTGTCATCATCATTTTTATAATTGCTTGTACTTTTGTAATTTTATAATTGCTTGTACCTTTTAGTAATAGAAAAAATTGGCTTGTACGCCAATTTTTTCTATTGCTAAAAGGTAAGTAACGTCTTTTGGATGAATGAGTTTCGAAGAATGAGTCTTATTTTTAGATCTTTAAATTTAAAACTTATAATTCTACATATAATTGAATCTGATAAATTCATTGCAAATGAAAAGATATCAAATAAATTGTCTTCTTATGAGCACTTACGAGCACATTGTAACAAATCTTTTTTAACAATTTTATTGCAACAATCTTGTATGTCTTTATTCAAAGCTTCTTGGAAGAGGAAAAATTAAAATAATTTCTCCAAAAATTAAAAAAAAAAATTATATATGGGTCTACACAACAGTTGATGATTTTCTGATAATGTATAGTATGGCACCAATAATGGTTATTAAAATAATTCATACGAGTTAATATAATACCATATAATATTATATAATACTGTATTATGAGTTCCTTGTTGATTCCCAGGATTTCACTTAGAATTTTAGGATTTTCAAAGAATCTTCTGCAAATGTTTTCAGTAGTACTACTACCAGGTTATATTCTGCTCTTGGCTTGCCAATTCTTAATCAAATTGCCTAAGTATTAAAAGATATATATGTTTACTTGTTTCAGCATACATTTGTTTCTATTCCTTTGTTAATCACCGAACTTTAAGTTCAACATGATAGGTAATGTGTAGTAATTATTCGAAAAATTGAATCCAACAGTGTAAAGGTGACAAGCAATGCATATGCCTTATCACTTTTACATTCATCTCATTAAATGTTGTTTCACAAATAGGATAGCATTGCATAGATGACGTGTCTATAATGAAGGGCTAAGTTTGCCATCATTTTTTGATCGGAAAAGCTGGTTTGTCTAACCATTCTTTATGCTGGCTTTTTTTCTTTATGTTTTTTTCCCCATTTTCCTTTATATCTTGTATAAAAAATTCTCAATAAAATTAAAATTTTTGAGGTATTACATTCACAAATAAGTGTGACCACTGAAAAAATATACTTAAATACCTTTTTTGAGACGGTATTAGAGCCATCGAAGTGTTTAATGATTTCCCTCCTGAACTACTTTTATTATATTTTATCATATAGAAGAAGTTGCTTCAGAAATGAAGAAACTACTTCTAGCAAGACAGAAATGTGTAGTTTCTGTCTTGCTAGAAGTAGTTTCTTCATTTCTGAAGAAAAAAATTTAACGGTTTTTGAAAATGTTACTACACAAAAATGACACTTAGTGAAAAAAACGGTTTTTTCCCTATTGTAAGTCACAATCGCACCCTCACAAATATTGTTGGGGGTAAACTTTACGTTGGTCATTTTCTTTACAATTGTCACGGCTATTATTACGGCTATTATTATCACGGCGATTATTATATATACAATTATATACATAAAAAATGTAACAATATAATAATCACCAGATATACATAAAAATAACAAGATATCGATTTATAATCATAGCTTTATATTTTAATCAAAAACTCTTTTATAAAAATTGAATTAAAAAAATACTAATCTAATTTCCAACATCTCAAAACGAAACATTTCTTTTCAATTTTTACATAAACGCGTATAAGTGTGACGATTGTAATTATTGTTATTCGTAATTGCCTAACTTTGATTAATATTAAAAGTAAGTGCTTGTGCGTCTATGCGGTTTTGCTCCAGAGGACGGTTTTTAGAAAGAATATTGTTTCATAGCTTGCTTTATTGGTAATGTTGATATCTAAAATGGTTTTCACTTGATGAAATAATTCTGATAACACATATCTTTAACTCTAAAATCAAAAATTGCCTAATACTCAAAAAAAAGGTCTAGAAAAATATGATGTAAAAATAATATTTTTATCAAAAGAAACTTTATTATGCACAAATTCTCAGAAAAGCAAAAAGGACTCTTTTTGACAGATGCAAATTGAAAGAAACTGTTTTACCAACGCGTAGTATGTTTTTTGCCA